GTAAGTTTGCAGGCAAGGACTGAGTCCTTTAAACTTTTCATCATGCCTATAAAACATTTTAGGTGGCTTGGAATTTCAGGGGCTTTTCAAACAGCCAGTGTGGCGTAATGCTGACTGTTCTTTCATGATAAGGCGCTGGTTTCAAATTCTCACTCCTAGGGAGCACTTATGTAGAAAAGTGGGGTTTTTGCTGTAATTGGGGGTCTCACTAGATCAAACCAAAGGTCCGTCTTGCCCAGAGTTACAATCCCCTTTGGCCAGAAACTTCAGGAAAGCCCTCCTCTCCTGGATCAAGTTCCAAACATTCAGTGTAAAATTAAGGGAACAGGTTCCTCCAAGATCTGGGGAAGCACCTTGTCTCCTTGAGGTGGGAGAATACTGCAGCTTTTATGCCGGAAAAGCTTGTCTGTGGATGCAGGTGGGAAAATACAGTGGAAATGAGAGTGAATTGCTGATGGTGCCTCAGTGCATTAAGGCAGGTCATAAGTATCAAGCGATTCGCATCATGGTCAAGAGAACCACCTGCAGAGGACTCAGAGAAACAGAGCGAGTCAGAAGGGGCCTCCCAGGCCATCTATTTTATTTATTTGTTTATTTAAAACATTTCTGTGCCGCCCCCATCGCAACAAAGCCTCGGTGCAGCTCACAACATACATAAAAATACAATCATTAATTTAAAAACTGGTACCATCTCGGCTATATATTAAAATCTATAAATACAATAATAATAAATTAACAGTTAAAATAACTTTTAAATAAAAAGGTCTTCGCCTGGCGCCGAAAAGCAAATAACGACGGCGCCAGGCAGACCTCTCTGGGGAGCGCATTCCATAGATGGGGCGCTACCGTAGAGAAGGCCCTCCTCCGGGTACTCACCCTCCTAATATCCTTCACGGAGGGTTCCCGGAGAAGGGCATCCGCTGCCGATTGTAGGGGGCGGGAGGGCATATATGGACGCAGACGTTCCTTTAGATAACCAGGTCCCAAGCCGTTAAGGGCTTTATAGGTCACAACCAACACCTTGAATTGGGCCCGGAATTCAATCAGGAGCCAGTGAAGCTGACGGAGAACTGGGGTTATATGAGAACAACGCCCAGTCCCCGTCAGCAACCTGGCAGCTCTGTTTTGCACCATCTGAAGTATCCGGACCGTCTTCAAGGGTAGCCCCACGTAGAGCATGTTACAGAAATCTAGTTGGGAAGTTACCAACGTGTGCGTCACTGTTGCCAGGCAGTTGTTCTCCAGGAAGGGATGCAGCTTCTAGAGACAGCTTAGGGTTGAGGAGCACTCCCAAGCTGTGAACCCGGTCCCTCAGAGGGAGTGCAACCCCATTTAGGACAAGGCCCAAGTCCCCCATCCCGAGGCCCAAGCCACCCACCAACAGGACCTCCATCTTGTCTGGATTGAGCTTCAGTTTATTGGCCCTCATCCAGCCCATTACCTCGGCCAGGCACCGGTTCAGCACAGCCACTGCCTCACCTGGATCGGTGGAGAACGAGAGGTAGAGCTGGGTGTCATCAGGTTATCCAGTCTGACCTCCGGCACCAGCCGGCTCCGCTCAGACCCATTCAGTGCGTTTCTTCTCTTTGGCGAGACTTCCCAAGCAACGAACAGGCCATGTGAGCCAGTCTGTGTTACAGGAACTGAATGAGCCGAAGTAAATCTATGCAGGGACTCCTAGTCCATGGGATACGGAGCGGGGAATGTTGGACTGGGGACCTGGGAGAGTGGGGTTCTAGTCCTCAGCCAGGATGCTCCATGGGTGAGTCTGGGCCAGTCAGGCGCTCAGCCTAACCTACCTCACAGGGTTGTTGTTATGAGGTTCAACTGGAGCTATGTACACAGCTTTTCTTGGGTTCCACACAAGAAAAAAGACAGGCCAATAACAGCATGTGTGGCCCAGAGGGGGCCAAACTGGGCACTTCTGGGTTCCATACGTTTGAACAGGAGACGGCAAAGTTAACTTTTCCAGTAATTTTAATGAAATGGGAAGTGTTTGGGTTTGAATGGATTGTGTTCCATCTTATTCTGATGTATATTCCTTTGTGGGGAGGGATGATGGAAGAATGAGTTGTACAGAGCCTGCATGGGTTAATTTTAGGCACCCCATGGATCCTTCCTAAGGGGTACCAAGATAAGGTATGGCTGCTGGCTGCGGCGGATTCAAGGGAGTGATCCGATGCATCATTGCTCAGCGATTCTGCATTTATACTACCGAGCAAACAGGATGTCATGAATGGACCTGACCCGCACTCTTAGCAGCCCTCGCAGAGTCATGATTTGGATTCTGGAGAAAACCTTGAGGACTCAGCCATGGGAGTTTTGGAAACTCATGGAGAGGCGGAGGCCTTTGAAGTGCTCCCAAGGTCCCCTTTCACAGGTTCCCGGGCCAACCAGGAGAGCAAGATGCTTTCGAAGGGGGTTGGTGTCGTCGGTGACTCTTCAGCACTTCTTGCAAGCGTCTTTGTTCTAAGAAGACTCTGAGCATACACAAGCCTCAGAGCATACACAAAGCCTCAGAACCCTCTCTGCCCCCCTTTACCCTTCGGGGCCTGTTTCTGGAAGGAGGGGCGCGCACCTGCCTTCTGCACTCTGAGCCCCTAACTGGGCCAGCCTGCAGCTGCGACGACGGGCCCTTGGGTCCAGCTCTCCAGCAAGCTGGCTTCCTTCGTTCCCTTTCCACACATCCTCCCTCAGGATGTTTTGGCCCTCCATCTCCTTCATTCCCTCCGGGGTGGGGGGAACCGGGCCCCACGGCTGTCTTTGAACTCCTCACATCCACAGCAGGCTCAGACGGGTACCGAGAGACTGTCCGTCGCAGCAACAATTTTGTTATTCCACGTTGCTTGTGCTCTGAGCCTCGTCTGCTTCAGCTCCTCCTCATCCTATCCCACCAAAATGGTCAGCTGCTCGTGCACACCCAGGAATTCCGCCAGCGTGCACACGCACGGCCGTCAGGGTCCGAGAAGGGGCCGGGAGAGCCGCTGCCTTCCGGTCCCTGACCCCATGACGAGGCGTCCAGGAAGACGAGGTGCTTCGGTCTTGCTGGCTGGCCTTCCCTGGCATAGTTCCTGACAGGGAGAAATTTGGGGAACATTTTCCAGTTTAGGTTGGCACAGGAGGTAGCTAAAACGGGCAGTGGGAAGCCAGCATGAGAGGGAAGGAAGCCAGTGGTCGGGGCTACGGAGAGGAACGCGGCACGGGGAGGGCAACATGGCTGACGGCATACATGTGGGCAAGGCAGCAGAAGCCCAAGGGTGATTCAGAGGTGGGGTTTCAGAGGGATCATGTGTTTTGCCTGTACAAAGGCAGATGAGGAAATGACACATGTGCTTGCATGCAAGGTTTACATAGATACAGTGTGCGTGGCTGGAAATCTGGGGGCAAGAGAATGCAAGTGAAGCTCGCCACGGGGGGAGAATTTAGGCAAAAGGGGACTGGGGCAAAGAGAATACACTGACAGTTGGGTGAGAGAGAAAAAATAGCCTTATCTGGAATACCCTAGCACAGAGGAGCTGGTTACCTGACCTCTGCAGTGCACTCTGTCTTTGAGCCAGGTTACTTCTCTGTTCCCCTTTCAGCCATTTTGTGCTGGTGCCCAGGACAGCGTTGCCCAAAAAGCAGGGTGGCCCAGCAGGCTGCGATCTGCATTATGGAACTGCCACCTCTGCAGCTCTTCCTCCACCTGCTGCAGAAAACGACAGGCAGACGCAGCCCTGGTCCATGCCTCCCTGCGCCACCCCGTCTTTCACGGGAGGAACGTGCGAGCCCTTTTCTGGGGGTTGGACTTGGGGACAGAACCAGGGCTCCTCCCTGAACCTCAGCGCACCCTCCAAGGCAACCAAGGGTCTCGAGAAGTTAAGTTTGGTCCTTGAGACCCTGCTCAGCAGAATCAGGGTCCCATGCTGATGAGCCCGAGCACGCCAGGGCTTCAGGCTGAAGAGATCTCTCGCCTCCTGGGGATCCCTTTCCAAAGGGAGACTTCAAAAGCCCATCACCTGCCAGCCAAGCACCTGTTCCTCCTAACCAGTACTTCTTGTGGCACCTTAAAGTCTGGCTCACTGACTGCTGCGTTTGCCTTTGCTTCACAAAGGCCTCAGATCTGTTTGGAGCTTTCATCTGTTACCCTCCCAGGGATTAGGGGAACCCTAATATTCTGCCCCTATTTTGTGCTCGCTCTTAACTGGATTATCATCTCAGCAGGATGGAGGATGCTGCTGCCGTGATTTAGCTTGATTTCAGCCGTTTTCGATGCATTTCTGTATTGAAATACCATCTCTGGCAAACTGCGGATCCACAGTTGGTTAGAGAACTGTACTGAAAGCTGCTCGGTCCAGCTGGAAGTTGGGCTGGGTGCTACAGAGAGGCAGAGCGGAGCACTGGCTTAGTGTTGGACTGGGATCACGGAGATCCGGCTTCTCGTCCCCGTCTGGCCACAAGCTCACTGGCTGACTTTCAGCCTAACCTGCCTCACAGGGTTGTTGCGCGGGGAGGCAGGTTTGGGGTGCTGCCCTGAGCTCCTTGACAGGAAAAAGCAGGCTATGCACAGAACAAATAAAAATATTCAGTTGCTACACCCATGATTTAGGGGCGCCATCGGCATTCCCCAGCCCGCTTCCAGTGCAGCGAACCCTCTCCTGGTGGCGGAGGACATGACCCTCCGGCCGGCCGGCCGGCCGGGCTCCCTGGGCATCCCTGTGCCCGGGCAAGCCCGGATCGCACGCGCCGGCCCGCATCTCCTCCTCCTGCGGGCCGCGGCGCCGCCGCCCTGCCCCTGGGATTCCCCCGCAAGCGCCGGCCGGCGGCGCCTCGGGGCGCGGGCTGAGCGGGCCGCCCCCCCCCCCCGCGCCGTCCGTCTCCGCGGGGCTCGCCGGGGCGACCTGCCGGCCGGGGCACGGGCTTTCCACAGGCGGGAGGGCGGCTGCCCGCTGCCCAAAAAGGGGGCGGAGCCTGCAGCGAGCGCCGGCGTATAAAGGGGCGCGCGGCGCCGTGCGGCGGCAGCGCGGGCAGCGAAGGAGTCACGCCGAGGTATCGTGCGCGGAACGGGGCGGGCGCGCGGCGGGGGCGGAGCGGCGGCGCGCTGCGAGCCGGCCGGGAGCCTGGCAGGGCGCGCTGCGCGTTGTAGCGCGAAGCGCCCCGGGCGCGCCGGGGGCTTGGAGATGCGCGCGCGCTCCGGGGCCGGGCGGGGGTCCTGCTTTCTGTCTGTCTGTGTGTGTGGGGAGGGGTCCGACGCGTGTGCCTGCTGGCGGCGGGGGCCGCGCGGGGCCGCTCGGATGCGCAAGGCGCGGGCTCCGCGTGCGCAGCGCGTGGATCGGGAGTGCAGGCACGGGCGTCGCGGCCGCGGGAGCCTCGTGTCGCGCGGGGCCAACCGGCGGGCGGGCGGGCGTCCTCGGAGCGCGCGCGTCCCTCGGGGGCAGCTGGCCCGCCGCTCTCCCGCCAGGTAGGAAGCGCAGTGCGGGGGGGGGGGGCGGCGGCCCGCAGGACGCAGCTGGCGTCGGTTGGCGCCGAGCCTGCTGCGCTGCAAAGGCTTTTTCGGGGCGGGGGGTTCCTGCCCCAGCAGCTTCGAGCGGCCCCCCGCCCCAGAGCCCGCGTGTCCTCAGCTCGCCGGCCCCTTCGGCTCTGAGCAGGGCCGCCGCGGACTGCGCGTCTGGCAGGGCGCACTCGCCGAGTTGCCGTGCGCCGAAGACCAGAGCGCGCTCAGGTGCGCTCAGGGCGCATCCTTTCGGGTGGTGGACGGCACGGCTGTGGTGGTCCTCACCTGCACAGCGGACGTGGCGGCCGTGCAGCATCTTAGCGACGACCACGTAGAGGGCACGTCCTGGTGCGTTTGAACAGCGAGATTGTCTACAGCGCCCCGCTGTCTAAGTGCGCCTGGGATTGCGGGGAGGCCGCAGGTGTACCCTATGGCCTCTGTCGCTGGAAGTGCTGCATTGCATGGAATATTTGGGGATTTTCAAGTTGGCGTACATGTCTGTCATGGGATGTTGTGGGAAGGACTGTGCAACAGGTCAGAAGGAAATTAAATGCAAAAGGGGAGTCCCATTTTTAACAAGGGTCATTCAGGGTGTGGTTGAATTTGTTAAGGGCAGTGTGAATTGCCCTTAAATAAGCCAGGCCCTGGGTGTTTGCATTCTCAGCAACAAGTGTACAGTGATTGAACACAGTTAATAATATGATCGTTGCCTTCAGTTGTGCAATATTTAACTTCCATGCAGTCTGAATATTTAGAATTCTTCCCCCAACCCCGAATCAAGTGCACTGTGTAAAGCCAAAACTTTCCATAATATTCTATGCATTTTATGATGTGTTTTAAAGCCCACAAAAACATATGGCAGAATAAATTTGCTAATCTTGAAAGTGGCACAAGTAGCTTTGTTGTGCTTGTTGTTATACTTAAACGGTATTTTGGTTCATGGGTCTTTATGATAAACTGCCAAAGATTCTTAGAGCACCAGACTTGAAAGACTAAGGCTCTTCTGCAAAAGGCATTGCCAGACACGGTGTGGGACTCCTGTGTACCTTGGTGGCATGCCAGTCCAAAGCAGGGCATGTGGGGGACAGCTGAGCATCCTAAGCCCCCCCATTCCTCTGAAAAGGGTCCCAAACTCCGGCAGCCCTGGGGCTTTCAGAACAGTTGGCAGCAAAATGCAGCAAAACAAAAATTACGCATTAAGTTGCGTAATGTCAACATCTACCTCAGCTTTACTGATGTCACTAATAGAGGAATCCCCAGGTTTAGCTTGTGGTCATGCTTTGCTTTATCTTCTGACTCACTCCGTTTCTATGTTTCTGTGTTTATCTTTTTAATGGACCAACAAAGGAACTCTTGTGTATTTTATGTAAGTGAAACAGGAAGACAATAAAGTCCAGCTATGTATGTTTGAAAAGCCCGTAAAGACCAAGGGCTCGATGCTTTGCATATCCAGATGGAAAAAAAAGTCTGTGGCATGCTCAGAGTTGCAGACGCTTCTTTCTAATCCTGCGTAGCGTTGCATCTTAAGAATGATGAGGACAACAGGTGTTTTGAGGTGGTGTGTATATAGCCGGTTGAGAACAGTTGCTCCGGAGTAATTTCTTTTTAATTGTTTTATTTTAATTGTTATTTTACTTATTGTTTTTACATTTATGCCGAGATGTCTCCAGATTTTTAATGTATTTGTATAGTTATTTATTTGTATTGGAAGCCGCCCCGAGGCTTTTGCAAATGGGGCGGCATATAAGTGTTCCAAATAAATAAGTAAAATTTTGAGGGGGATTACTCTGACCAAAGATCTTGAGCTCAATAAACTCTTCTGCTGTACATCGAGGGCTCCTTCCTGCCTTTCCCCGCAATTGGCACCCTCTTTTATTCCGCCCGTGAAGACTGGTGCCATAATAATAAATTGGAAAGTCTTCTAAGATTTTAGGAAGCGAGCCACATCTTGATGCTCAGCCAGAATCTCATGGCTACACAGCACACATCAGATGGACCAATCCGATCCTCTCTTGCAAAACTTTGTCCTACGCTGGCGGGATGGTGATACTGTGGAAAGCACTGCTGGTAGAAGGAAGCTGCTTCCTGGCCAAGGGAGATGCTGGTGTGTCTTTCACAGGTGTGCACACAGGTGTGCTCTCTTGCCTGCTCTTAACCTTTATGGACAGTGGCTTCTGCATGGGAGAGCAGCCTTCCCCAGCCTGTGCTCTCGAGCCAGTGGCCAGCCTTTTATTGATTAAATGTATATACTGCTCAGCGGGCAAACGCACTGCAGTGGTTTAGAACAGAAATATTGAACGTTTTAACTCAACGCCGTAATTAGTTTTGTGAGAGCCGGAGTGGCGTGGTGGTTGGGAGCTCGGGGGACTGGGGACCACTTCCCTCGCAGCCCTGAAGCTCCCTGGGCGACCTTAGTCCATCCTACCTCACAGGGCTGTCGTTGCTGTGAGGATAGAGTAGAGCTGTGAGAACTGCTGTGACAAGAGGTGGGGTATAAATGCCATGTAATAATGGTAATACTACAATGCCTGTTTTTGTCCCAGAAACACCACAGATACATTAATACTGAAAAATCTTTGGCTGTTCCTTCAATCATTGTTTGAAACCCGCCGGTTTCATGAGCTGGGGGGGGGGACCTTTCCATCCACAAGCCAGAGCTGGGCTTCTGGAGGTCCCAAGGAGCGGCTCGCCCTTTCCTGGCCATCAGGACCCCCGCGCCTTCCCCTGCCTGCGGACCACTTTCTGCTCGTCTGGCTCTTTTGTGGCTCCCCAGCCGAAAAGTCTGAAATGCTGCTTTTGCTTAGCGAGAGCTTTGCGCTAAAATAGGTCGGCATGTTGCGCGCGCCCGCTCGCCCCCCCCCCCCAATCGTCAGCCGGGAGCAGCATTAAATTGCAATGAGTGGGCGCTTGACTGCAGAGCCCCGCCGGCACGTCCCCCCCCCCGCCCCCCGCGCGGCTTCTCGGGCGCCCCTGCGTGGCCGCGGGGTCGCCGCCGCTTCCCGGCCCCGCGGCCCTTTCCTGGCAGCGCCGGGGGACGCGCCCTCCGCCCGGCTGGCAGCGCTGCGCGGTCCTCGGCTAACCCGCCGCGGGCGCCCTGGGGCTCGCCCAGGGGAAGCCGCTCCGGGAAGGCGTGCGCGCAGGGCGCATCCCTCCCGCTCCGCGCACGGGGCGGGACGGCGGGGGTCGCCCTGGCCGCCCGACGGGGGTCCGCGCGGGGCGCGCGTAGTCTCGCCCGCCACGAGCGGGAACGGCTGCCTGCGTGGACGGCGCTCTCGCCCGGTTCGGCGCCTTTCGCTTTCAGTCCGTGTCACGTCACTTTTGGCGCAGGTTGCAACGGCGAAGCGCCCCGCGTCGCTTAGCAGGGCAGCCGGGACAGTACTGATAATTAGAGTCTTTTGATTTAGAGAATGGCCGGGGATTTTTCATGCGGCTGCTGCAGAGACAGGCGTGATCAAAAGCAGCCAGCTTCACAAAAAGCAATTACGACTGATGGCGTCATGCTGGGAGCCTACTTGGAAGCTTCCTGGAGGGTCGAAAATAATCTAAAAAAAAAAACATTTAATGGAACAGCGGGCTGGGAGGATTAAGCAGCTTAAAAGTGCGAGCTGTGAAGCAGATGGATCTGTTTAAGGGCCTGCTCCAACCACAGACTTGCTCCAGGCACCATGTGGCTCGCGGCAGTCCTCTCCCAGCTCCTCCGCCTCCGAGGTGTTGGCCTGCAGTCCCCATATTGCAGTGCTGGCTGGGCATGATGGAAATTGCATTCCACCCCTGGAGGCACCAGGCTGAGGGAGGCTGATGCATTAGGATAGGACCCCGCTGGGTCTGCGGACCCGATCCTTGGCTGCCAGGTAGGGGGAGACGGGGGCAAACATGTGCTAAAAACTATGCAGGCAGGGGACTTGTTCCTGCACAGGGACTACCTCCCACTTACGAGTTGGGAATAAAAATTCTGGCCTACCTTTTGGGTGGTTGTATGAAATGACTGTGTGTGTGTGTGTGTGAGAGAGAGAGCGAGCGAGCGAGAGAGAGAGAGAGAGAGAGAGAGAGAATGGATGGGGTTTGGGTGCTTGAAAGATACCACATTAGTGCTGCTTTTGATAGATTCCAATAAAACTGGGGGCACAGACACATGTGAAAGAGCCCTTGACCCGCAGCCTCGACCAGCCATTGAGTGCCACGTTTATCATGTTCAACTAAACTGGGTTTTCTTCTTCAGCGATTTATTTTATGTTGCCTTGACACGATCTGTTTAAAATGACTGCCAGCCACCTGGTTTCAGAGGAAGCTGCCTCAGAGGCCCCAGGCAGACATATTGGAGGGGGTGGGACGTCATGGATTCCGGCCCCTCTGATCGGGTCTCTGCTTCTTCCTTGCTCTTCTCCTGCAGGACGACGCGATCAGCTGACACAGGGAGGGGGGTCTCCTGTGGAGCTTGAGCGGACTGCGTGGTGGGGTCCTTTAACGCCAAGGGATCCACAGAGAATTGGAAAACTCTCAGGAATATGAAGCAGCATTCTTTTTGGAGCCCCTCAAAGGTAATCTTAGGGTCATAGAATCGTAAAGTAGTGGCGTTCGAAGGGGCCAGAAGGCAACCTAAAATAGCCTTTGCCGCATCACATTGTTGACTCATTTTCGGCTTGCCATCTGCGACAACCACAAGATCCTTCTCACTTGCAGAACTGTTGAGCCAGAGATTCCCCATCTTGTAAGGATACATTTGGTTTCTTTCCTGAGGTGCCAAACTTGACATTAGTCCCTGTTGAATTTCATTGGGTTGTTTCCAGCCCAGTGAACTGTAACCTGTCAAGATCACCTTGAAACTTCTTTCTGTCTTCCAGGCAATTAGCTGTCCCACCCAGTTTTGTGCCATCTCCAAATATGATGATTGTTCCCTCGGCCAAGTCATTAATGAAAACGTTGAAGGGCACTGGGCCCAGGACTGACCCCAGATGCTGCACTTCTCACCTCTGCCCGGTTTGGGAAGGTGCCGTTGATGAGCATTCATCGAGTCAATTAGCTGTAGCTAATTGTGGGGTCACCTGACCATTGTTCCATCTGTCCCAGTTAGCTAATCAAGAAATCATGGGACAATTTGTCAAAAACTTTGTTGAGGTCAAGATAGATTATGTCCATTAGAGAGATTACCCAATCAAAAAAATGAAACAGGATTTGTTCTTGAGAAATCCATGTTGGCTTCTATTAATCACTTCATCACTTTCATAGAATCATAGGATAGATTTGGAAGGGGTCATGAAGGCCATCAAGTCCAACCCCTGCTGATGTAGGACATCAAGTCACACCATCCCACTCAGAGGGCTGTCCACTTTAGATAGATTATGTCCACAGCACTCCCATCCGGGAGGTTATGCATTCAGAAAATGATCAGGTACTCTCAGTCTCACTTTCATGGTGTTTGCAGACTGAGTGCTTTATAGTCTGGTGCAGAATTTTCCCAGGGACTGATGTCAGGCTGACCGGGCAGCAGTTCCCTGTTGTGCTTGTTTTCTTTTCTTGAAGACGGGGACAACATGACCCCTTCTCCAGTCATCTGGCACTTTCCCTGTCATCTGTGATTTCTCAAAGATTAAATAGACAGCGGTTCTGAGAGTCCTTCTGCCAGCTCCTTTATGACTCTGGGATGGAGTTCTTTGGGCCCTGGAGAGCTGAGCTCATTCAGCCCATCTAGATGATCCTTGACCATTTGCCTGTCAATCCTGAGCTGCCGTCCTGCTCGCCAGCTTCTTGTCTGCCTCTTGGCACCTTCAGCAGAACAGATTGTAAGCAAATGTAGGGGTATCCAATTTCAGGAGTTTGGGCCAGGTCCAGCCTGGCTGGGGACCCAGTCACCCTACCTGAGGTTCTCAGTAGCTACTCCTGTTATCCCCTCTCACCAGGTAGCCCCCGTTTTTCCTCTGCCGTCACCAACTGCTTGTTGGCCCCCTGGTTTGGGGGCATTTGTTTTTTTCCTGAAGCTCTGCACTTTGAACCAGTCTGGTGTGGACTGTGGAGCCCAGAGATTCAGGTTCTAGTCCCCAGTGGCCCTGGAGGCCAACCTACCTCACAGGGTTGTTGTGTGGCTCAAATGCGTAAGCCACCTTGGGATATTTGTGCAATGTAAAAATAATAAGGCTCCATCAGGATCCCATTTTAGCCCCACCTCCTTGCCTGTGGCCTCCCCAGCACTGGAATATGGCCCATGAGACCTTCTCTGAACTGGGGCTGCTGAAAAGGTTAGAGAGAAATGCTTCATTCTGTCCTATAATGCTGTGCCTCCCTAAGGATATAAATCTGTTAAGAGCTATTAGTCGTGGCAGTGAAACAGGACTTACTTAACTTTGAATGACCATAGCTGGGACTGACTTGTGGAACGCTGGCTTTTAAGGATGTGGGAGGAATGCAGCAGGAAAAATGCTCTCCTTTTGTTCCCCGGTACAGTGATACTTCGGAGCACAGTGTCCTCAAACCCTGACGAGTGTTTAACTTCTTTGAAGCACCCCTCCTTGTTTCCATTTTTATTTGAGGACATTTTGCTGATGAAGAAAACACTCTGTAATCACATGTTAAAATACACTTGGTATTAACAGATCCCAAAGTTATACCAGATGGCTAGCAAGGAGGGATTTAAAGGGAAATTAAAACCAGAACCTTCTGAAAGGCTTTTCATAGTGTGAAGCCAAACTGAAGCTATTTCAGACAGTCAGACGGCCGTTCCAGCTTAGAGTGCGCAAGCCCCCAACAGACACACCAGGTAGGGTCTGAGCATCCGAGCCACATACATACTGTCAAAGAAAAACCTGTCTTTGATCTCTGAGATCCTTCATATGGAGGAGCAGAGCAAGCGATGTTCCCTGCTGAATTAGACCCTTTGTCATCCCAGCCAGCATGGCCTCTGATAGACCATGGCTCCCCAAGACTCCCTGGTCTACCTCAGGACATTCAGGATGCTTTCCAGGTCTCCTCCTCTTGCCAGACATGCTTCTGGAAATGGAGCCAGGGAAGCCCTGCAGACTAAGAATGTATTGTAGCGAAGGGCCATGACCACCCCGCTCAGACCTTTCTTTCTGACCCGCATCTTCGGGACAGATGGTTTTGCAACTGTTTGTTCGGTTACAATGCCCCGTTGTCGCTTATCAGCGTCCCACTTGGCAAGACCTGTTGGCACAGAGAAGAATTAAGCCTTTTAAGTGGCCACCCTGGAAATGAATTCCCTAGTTTGGTGTCCTTGTGACTCACCTCTTCACTCCCCAAGAACAACTGCCTGAGCACCTTGCTGCATGCGGCCTCTCCACTGTCTGACTTCTGCCCTCCAGGCTTTGGAAGGCACATATTTTACTATAAGCTTCCTTTCCATTTTATTTATTTATTTTCCTACTTAACACTTTTGCATACTGTCTCATAGCCCCATGGCTGTCTGGACGGTTTACAGAATAAAAACTGACTGCATAAAACATCTTAAGCACGTACAATTTAGACAGTTGAAACCAGAATAGCAATAATAAATAACATCACATCATAGCAAGAGCACCAAATAATAGTTTAACAACAGATTGGAGCTATCTGCAATGTCATAATTAAGAAAACAAAAATATGCATTAAAATAGGATTAAAATTAAATTCCAATTACAATCTAATTTTATCATTTGTGCCCCTCCCTTTTTGGCCTCCTCGGGGTGAGAGGGTTCAAACACGTAAAACCCCTTCACGTAAACGGCTCGCATCGCGCCTGCTTGCGCCAGCCCTTCTGCAAGAGGGTGTGGGGACAGGCGCTCCTCTCCAGCAGCCGAGCCTTGTGCGTGTGTCTGGGAGTGAAACGCGTGCACAGGTGTGCCGAGGCACATCGCCCGAGAAGTCCCCCAGAGGGGAAGTCGGGGTGCCGCCTGGCCAAGGCGAGTGGGCAGCAAATAGGCGCTGGGGCCGGCGGCGCCCGCTAACCGCGTTCTTCCTTCTGTCCCGCCAGTGGGTCGTCTGCAGCCTGCTGCTGTGGATCCTGCGTGCGTCCCTCTCCCAGCCCACCTACACGTGGACGAACCGCCACACCCAGGAGAGGCACGTGTGCCGGCAGTGCCCGCCGGGGACCTACGTGGCGCAGCACTGCAGCCGGGAGCGGCAGACGGCGTGCAAGCCGTGCCCCGGCCAGCACTACACGCAGTACTGGAACTACCTGGAGCGCTGCCTCTACTGCAGCGTCTTCTGCAACCGGATGGAGGAGGAGGCGTCGGCATGCAACGGCACCCACAACCGGGTGTGCCAGTGCAAGGCCGGCTTCCACGCCGAGCAGGACTTCTGCATCAAGCACTCCCCGTGCCCGCTGGGGGCCGGAGTGGTCCAGCTGGGTAGGTCTGGCTTCTGCCTCCACGTGTGTGTGTAGAGCATGCGCGCCCAGCCTTTGTGGACGGCCTCCTGGTTCAGCGGACGCTGGAGCAGGGCTGGAGCAGAGAAGAGCGGGTGCGGGACATCGGGCAGGGGGCTCCGAGGCGCGGCTGGCCAGCGGGGAAGGCTTCCGGGAAGGAAGGTGCCGGCAGCGGTCACTGGGAGCCTCTCCCCGTGGGGCCTCCCTGGCCTCCCAAGGCAGGGGATTCGGTGGAAGTGCAGTGCTAGTGAACCCCTGCTCCAACCCCTCTTTTAGGCTCCTGGGGTGACGACGTGTTAAAATGGTGTGCATTGGGCTCGTGGGGTCCCCCTTCCAGGTGCAGGCACCCCTTCCCGGAGCCAGTAGAAACGAAGTCCCAGAGGGACGGGCAGATGACACAGGTCCCTCGTGTGGGTGCAGGCAAAGGCTCTCGGGGTTGGCATTGTTATGGGGGACTTCAGTCTCCTGGTATCTGCTGGGAGCCGAACTCTGCCAAACAGGGTCCCTCCAAGGGAGCCCTTGCTGGCAGCTTCCTCCGGGAGAAAGTAGAAATAGGAATGAGAGGTCCAGCTTTGCTTGGCCGGATCCTAACCAACAGGGAGGACATAGTGGGCAAGGTAGCAGCTCTGGGAGCTCTGGGAGAAAGTGAGCATGCCTTCCTTGAATTCTCAACAGTAAAGGGCGCTAAAACTAGATGTAGCCAGACAGGCACCCTGGAATCCAAGAAAGCCGACTTTAGCCAATCCAGGGCAGCGACAGACAAAGTCCCGTGGCAGATCAAAGGGAAAAGGAACTCAAGAAGGAAGGGTAGGATATCTTTAAAAGGCGATGCTGGAGGCACAACGACAAACAATTCCAACAAGCCGACAACAGAGGAGGCCCAGGCGGCTTCACAGAAAGATAAGACATAATCTGTAAATAAAAAGGGGCATGAATAGGAGGAGGAAGGTAGGCCAAGGTACAGGGAAAAGCAGGTCGCAAGGAACCGTAGAGATGATGCCAGGAAGGCTTAAGCGATGCATGAGCGGAGGCTAGCAAGGGGAGCTACACACTGCAAAGAAGTCCTCAAAGATGTCCAAAGCAAACGGCAGTCCAAAGAGAAGGGAGCTCAGCTAGCCGCTGTGCCAGTGATAACAGATGGCAGAAAAAAGGCAGAAGTGCTCAGCTCCTGCTTTGACTCGGCCTCCTCCTCGAAGAAGAGTTACAACTCCCCTGATGAAGGTGTAGTCAAGCTGAAGGGGCAGGAGGGCAGCCCACGACTGGCAGGCAACTGGTCAAGGGTCTTCTCACCGGCCCCATGAACTCCATTCTCGAGTCAGAAAGGAGCTGGCAACAGAACCGCTCCCTGTCGTCTTTGAGAATTCATGGAGGACAGGAGAAGTGCCAGATGACTGGGGAAGGGCTAATGTTGGCCCTCTCTGCAAGACAGGAAAAAAAGAAAAGCCTGGAAACTATAGACCAGTCAGTCTGACATCAACCCCTGAAAAAAAATTCAGGGCAAATAACAGAGCAAATTATAAAACAAACAGTCTGCAAACACCTTGAAGACAATGAAGTAATTACTAGAAGCCCACACAGATTTCAAGAACAAATCCTGCCAGACAACTCTAATTTCATTTTTTTGACTGGGTAACTCCCAGATGGGCTGTGGGAATGTTGTGGACATAATCTGCCTAGATTTTAGCGAAGCCTTCATGAAGTGCTCCATGACATCCTGATTACCAGACCAGCCAACGGTGGGCCACATAGTTCAACCATTAGGCATGGCCACAATTGGCTGCAAAATTGGATTCAAAGAGTGTTCAGCAATGGCACATTCTCCAACTTGGGAGAGGTGACGAGAGGGTGCCGTAGGTTCCTTCCTTAGAACCAGCACTCTTCAACCTTTTTAGTAATGATTTAAATGAGGAAGTGTAAGGAAAGATAATTAAATGTGCAGATGAGGCAAAGTCGGGTAGAATATCAAATATCCTGGAAGACAGAGATAAGACACAGGGTGATAAGTCAGAGTGCTGGGCAGAGAACAGCAGAATGAAATTCCGTTGGGACAAATGCCAAGTCCTCCACTTGGGAGCAAGAGACCAAATGCGCCACGTGGCTCAACGATACTGCAAAGGAGAAGGAACTTGGGGTTGTCACAAGCTGAAGGTGAGCCAACAATGTGATGCGGCTGCAAAAGGCAAACACTGTCTTGGGCTGCTTGACAGAAGCTCCACTTCCCAAATTCATGAAGTACCCGTTCCACTGTACACAGCGCTAGTCAGACCTCACCTGGAGTCCTGTGTCCAGTTCTGGGCAGCTAAGTTTGAAAAGATGCCGTAAAGCTAGAAAGGGTCCAGAGGAGGGCGACGAGGATGATTCAGGGACTAGAGGCAAAGCCTTACAAGGAAAATTGAGAGAAATGGGTATGTTCGGCCTCAGGAAGAGAAGGCTTGAGAGGGGATATGATAGCATTCCAGAAGTACCTCAGAGACTGTCTGAGGGACAAGGCTGCTCTGCATTCCGATTATCCCTCTTACGAGATCTTCAAAGTGCTTTCCAAGGCTGGATGCAGCCGGCAAGTTCGCCAAAGCAGTTCGGAAGTGCACAAGAGGAGTGATTTTGCCTGAAAGAGCCGGGCATGCCGGGATGATGCAGGACACGCGAAACTTGGGTGGCTCTGAGAAACCCCTGCACCCAGACTGAGAACCAGATAGGAAGTAGTTCGTGGTGGGAGAGCGATGAAGAAATCTGCACCGGGGGGCCAGGGGCAGGGAGAGAACTGAAGGGCCCAGGGACTTGCTGGCAGGAACCTTCCCAAGAGCTTCCCCCCACGGAATGCAGCGCTCTGGCCAAGAAGCATCGCCTTCCTCTGCTCGCATCTGAGCGACTGAACTGGCGAGACTTGCCGTGCAGAGCTCTCAGCCAGCCTTCCCCAGCCCTGCCCGACCAGTGGCCTTGCTGGTAGGGACTGATGGGTGCTGAAGTCCTAAGCAGTGGGAGGGCTCCAGGTTGGGAGCGCTGGCTGCAGCTGCTCCTCCCTGTCTTGGCTCACAGGAGAGATCTAACGAGAAGAAGGGTGTGAATGCCAACCGGAACGGGTCTGAGCCCACCTCTGCCTTGCTCTTCTGGTGCCCTCAAGACCAAGCTTCTGGGTCGACATGTACAATTCCAGCCCAAAGCCAACTTTCCTGCTGCTTGGCCTCAGGCGCTCTCCCATCAAGGAGTTGCGGGTCAGGGGGAGCTGAGATTTTTCTGGCCATTCGTTCTCGGAAAGCCCCCTGCAATTTGCAGCACGGAGCCACCGTTTCTTGGCAGGCGGGAGAAGGGCCGAATGCCCAGCTCCGCTCTCGGTTGCCCAGCACTGGGCACAGTCCTTTGGAGGGCCTCCTCATCCTGGACAAAATGAACAAGACTACAAGGCAGCTCCGACCACAATAATTTTGAAAGGGATGGAGGAGGCTCTCCATGGCTACTAGCCTTGCTGGCCACATGCTCCCCCCTCCCCCCCCCAGAGGCGGCCTGCCTGCACGTGCCCGTTGCTGAGGAGCTGGGCAGGAGGGGGTCTCGCCCCCCTCCGGCGCGAGCGATCTTGTGTGCAGAGTGCTGGCCCGGCTGGCCCTTTCTCGGCAGTAGGAGGGCTTGCCTCCAGCTCACACTTTCTATGCTGCCTGCCCTTCGCTGAACAGGTGATTTGAAGCAATTTCCACAGTGCTCTGGCTTTACATTCAGTTTCACTTTTCTTTCTTGGCTGGAGATTTCTCCCCTGGCAACACAGTGGGAGATTCTGCATTATCACCGAAGCATGTGAAGTGGAGACGCCTGGAATGCAGGCTGGGAATTTCCCTGCCCGATGCCCACGTGCTGCACCTTTCGGCTGCAGGCAAATGGAGGGCACAGCCCTACGGAAGCCCCCAGATTTGGAGGGCTGTGCTTATCTTGGGCAGGGTTGGCGGAGCGGCAGAGACGGCCTTTGCTTCCTCTTCCTTCTGCCCTGGTTTTTCTCAGATGGTTTCTTTCCCTTTCTACTGAAAGCCTTCAGGGAGGAAGGGCGCCCCAGGGTGGCTCACATCCTGGCCTCACCAGCCCCCTAGGGGTGTAAGAAAAGCCATGCAGGATCCGTCCTGAGACGAGCAGCCGGAACCTAAATGCCGCCACACCTTCCCACTCACACTGCTCAGCACCTGGTGTGCCCAAGCATTCCGCCTCTGGTAGCAGTAGCCTCAAGCCATGAGGACTAGCACCCCTTTGCTCCATGAATTTGTCCTGCCAGTGTGTATCCCCTCCTCTTCCAGCCCACTGAAATGGCTTCTTTCTGAGGTTGTGTTCCCGATCTGAGGGAATGGGGTTGGCAGTCCAACCCGCAGCTCTGAGGTTGGAATGATGTTGACCTCAGGCTGAGAATCCAAAATATCATATGGTCCCCCGGGACACTGTCTGGGGCCCTGGAATTGCTCCCTCTGGGGCCCTTTAAGGCCTCACTTGCACTGCAAAGTCAGAGGATCTGAAAATGCCCAAGCAGAAGGTGGCACTCGGTCAGATTTCTCGCTTGGCTATACGTGGCGTTCTTTGAGGAAAGCCATAAAAAGTCCACACTTGAAATGTCACTTGGTTTCACAGTTACTTCAGCAACCCCGTGTGTTCTGAGATTGACTGGAAGCCTGGTACAAAAGTTTCACAGTGTCCCGTACAGCCCGTGAAGTCAGCAGCTTTAAATTGGTGAGCTTTCAGCACAGCCTAGAATAGGTTTTCATTTCCTGGAAAGGTTCTGCAGTCCGGTAAGGGCTTGCACAGATAACAGGCGCCAGGCACCATCTCTGTTCCCTGTTAGATAAAGGTGAACTTGGACAGCGAGGTCATCTCAAGCTCCTTCCTTCTCCTTCCCCGGGGGCTCTGCTGGGTGCTTTCCGGGTCCATCGCATGTCCAGACTAAGCCAGCCTCCTGCTTGGGGTCAGGTGTCCAGGCAGCTCAGCACCTCCGGGGTCCCTCCACCCACCCTGCAGTCTGAAGGGATGCCTGGCTTTGAGTGCTCCGTCACTGCATTCGTAGGCAATAAAGGACTTACTGTCTGTAGCACAAGCCGTTTTGCCTCTTCCTGGGTATCTTTGAATCTGCGGGGGTGGGTTGCTTCGGCTGGATCAGACCCACACACTGAAAGAACATGCATCAGTGGTGCCCCTGGGGAGGCACTCGCCCCAGTTCAAAGGAGATCCATCTGCGCAAGCCTCTTCTGCATAGCTCCTGTATAGGTTTGAGGGTTCCACACTTGAAAGTGGCTTAACTTGAATGCAAGTCAAATGTTGTTAGTCACGAAGTCTCGTCTGACCCATCGTGACCCCATGGACAACATTCCTCCAGGCCTTCCTGTCCTCCACCTTCTCCCGGAGTCCACCCAAGCTCACGCTGACTGCTTCAGTGACTCCATCCAGCCACCTCATCCTCTGCCACCCCCTTCTTCTTTTGCCATCTGTTGTTCCCAGCATTAGGCTCTTCTCCAGGGAGTCCTTCCTTCTCATGAGGTGGCCAAAGTATTTGAGTTTCATCTTCAGGATCTGGCCTTCTAAAGAGCAGTCAGGGTTGCTCTCCTCTAGGACTGACCGGTTTGATCGCCTTGCGGTCCAAGGGACTCGCAGGAGTCTCCTCCAGCACCACAGTTCAAAGGCCTCAGTCCTTCGGCGCTCAGCCTTCCTTATGGTCCAGCTTTCACAGCCATACATTGCAACTGGGACAACCATCGCCTTGACTATATACACTTTTGTTGGCAGGGTGATGTCCCTGCTTTTTAGTATGCTGTCTAGATTTGCCATAGCTTTCCTCCCCAGGAGCAAGCGCCTTTTAATTTCTTGGCTGCAGTCCCTGTCTGTGGTGATCTTGGAGCCCAGGAAAATTAAATCTGTCACTACCTCCATGAGTCAAATAAGTGCAAACAAATAGTCAGCATGTGTTTGCAGCTGATTCTGATGCTCCGTTTTGTGTCTTGCAGGCAACCCACATGGAGACACCAAGTGTGTGTTGTGTGCTCCAGGGACCTTCTCCTCCTCCGTTTCCAGCACAGATTCATGCCAGCCGCACCGGAACTGCTCTGAGCAAGGCCTGGAGGTCAACGTTCATGGCACCAGGTTCCATGATACCCTCTGCACGGCTTGCCAGCTGGGCAAGGCTGGTTCAGAGGAAGGCTTAGGTGAGGAACTGCATCCAGGCATGCGGGGGGCACAAGGCACCCCTTCGAACTCAGGATAGAACTCATTTAGCTATTGCAAGAAGCATTCAAGGAAGTCCTGGTAAATAGGTAATGGTGCCTCTGCTGAAGAGTCTGTGCTGTTTGCAGAACTACAATTCCCAGGGTTCCCTGTTCTGAGAGCCAGGACAATTAAAGCAACACCTATTCAGTCCTACAGTGTAAAGCTTGTGTGTGGACAGATCTACTTCAGGTGGCCAGTGGAAGCTTACACCATCGCATTTTAAATACAATTTGAACCCATACATGTAAACCGCTTGCATATTTTACAGAAATATTACAAATAGAATATAGAAATACTACAAACATTTTGCAATATAGAAAATATGAATACTTCCAAATCAAGAAATGCTTGCATAGAAATATTACAAATAAAAATGAATTCTCTTCCTTACAAAATCATTCCTGCCCATAGAAAGCTAGCAAGTCAGGGAGAAGTATAGCCCTCCTGATATGCTTGCTTTCTGTGATCAGGGAATGATTTCATACATTCGTTCTGCCTTCACTGAAGTGGTCCAACCTCAGTGAGAACTCCTCCTAAGTGTGCAGCTGCGTTAAACTCGTCTTGTAGATATCCTCAGGCTGGACCGAGAATATTGTCTGTGTAGACACTAACCCTTTCCCTCACCCATAATTATCTGTGAGAACCCTTTTGGGGCCAGAAAATGGGCCACTGAATGCCTGCAGTTTAAAATTATGCTCCAGTATCACTGATTCTTACAGAAGCCCAATAGGATGACATGAAGACCCTTGTGTTGACCGTGAGGAACCTCGGTGTGTCTTCCACGCACGCCGCTTCCTACTGGGTTTTGATTGTTTTCCTCCCTCCCTTCTCTAGAAAATGCCGACTGCCAAGAGGCCTTAATAGACTTTGTGCCTTACGAAATCAAGTCGCGGAGAAGGCTGCTGCACCTGAAGCAGATCCTCAGCAATGAACCTCGCTCGGCCAGGGGCGCAAGAAAGAACCCCGAGGAGCTTCAGGTAGAGCTGCATAACTTCCTTCTGCAGCTCAAAAATGCCAACGGGAGAGCTTATGTTGTTCGAAAGCTTCAAGAAACTCTCACCCGTTTGAACCTGCACCATATAAAAGCAAAGATCAATAAGCATTTCGAACGTTTATGAGGATAACAAGCCAGTCATCTACACGTCTACTCAGAAGTAAGCACCATTGAATTCAATGGGATTTACTTCCAATTTAGTATGTGTAAGATGGTAGCTTCGGTTTGCACTTTGAGCTGCCTTAAGTTATTCAAGTCTACTTGTATATCTCAGAGAAAGAAAAAGAATAATTTCAGTCTGTTGCAGTTTATTTTGGTCATCCTCTTTGTACCTGAACTCACCCTCCAGATTAACAAGTTTAACATGCAGAATTTTGACACAATATTCAGCAAGTCTGATCCTCGGTATGCAAGGTGAGCAACAATCCCATGGCCAGTAAGTTTGTCTTGCAGTTGTCTTCTCGGGCATGCAGACAACCCAACGTTGGATCACCTGCTCCGGATGGACCCAGACTCAGTTCACCCAAATCAAGAGTTACACCTGCGTTAGATGCCTTCTGAGTTAGCAGGTGTTGTGGGCAATCTGGCTAGATCAGTTTGATGATGCCAAGTAAGACATGAGAGAGGTCCCTTTAAGCAGCCAGGGTATCTCTGGGCATCCTTCTGGCATGGCTTGGCAGGGTTTCACTGGTGTCCCAGGGATGCAGACCAGAGGAAGAATGTCTTCCTGCTGTTCTCAGGAAGGTCCCCACCAGTCTTCTGCCTCCTTGCTGCTCTCCTCACCTGGCTTTGGACGCCTGTTAACCTCTGCTTGATGAGGATGAGAAAGGCTTCTACTTGACCTGTGTCTGAGCATCATTGCATGATGCTGTCCTTGGTCAGTGGCCCAGGCATTTCACCGAAGCTGTGCTAGAGGCATCGTGCCTACCACGAAGAACTGGGGGGCTGCTTGCTCCCCATTGCGAGCCCCCCTGTTGAAGCTTGGTGTGGTGCTTCTGATTCTCCACATGCCAAGGCTGGTGTTGATGGCTGGGAGAGCAGACAGTCTCAGTCCGGGACCCTCCCCACACGATGGATGGGGATCTTCCTAGCACCCATCGATTTGGCCGTCAGGGGATGGCCCTGGGAGGACCCAGCTGTCAGATGTGACTCTTTAAGACACACTTCAAGTAGATGGACAGGTGTGTTTGGTTCCCCCCCCCCCTTCTTGTACCATGTCCAGGAGACTCCAGGAGACTGATGGGATCCAGTGGATTTCCCAGAGCTTTTAGGTATTTCCCAGTGGGCAGAACTGGAGATTCAGCCAAGGCCTGATCTCCCTGCGGAGTGTTGAGATGTGGCGGGCCCTGGACTTGGTCATGCCCAAGTGCCCTTTCCAGCTCTGGAAAGGCCCTTTTGGTTATGCTGTGGTCAGTGAAGCCAGCCAGAAATTGGGTCAAGAAAAATGGCGCCCAGCTCAGGGAAAAGATGAGCACCCATGTGACAGGCATCCACCAAAGAGACTGTTATTCGCCCAGGTTTTCCTGCTTTCCCTCCCCTGTTTTGTACTGGTCACATATAGCTAGGTCTTTTTGTGACCTAAAATTATTTTTCATACTGTACGGAAGTTTATTTTAAATATGATGTTAATGTTTGTATGTGAACCACATAGAGATTCTATTATATTTAAGCAGTATATGAAAATAAATGCATTTATACATAAAGAAAATGTTCCTATTGTGTGGTAATCTGGGTTTTCCTTTTCTGCTTCCTTTGTATGTGGAAGTGGCCATCCGGGGGGCCCTTCTGGGTGGTTTGGGGGCTTTTTGCATTCTCCCCAGCAAGTGGGGCCCTGGCGGTCCAAAGGAACTGTTTTGCACTGCTCTTTGCGGACAAAACCGCTTCTCTCGGCAGCAAATTTGATGCGGTCGTTAGTGCGGCCCCGCTAGTGAGCTGCAGCTGTACAAGGCCTGATTACGTGGGGCGAATTTCAGCATGTGGGGCAGCTTCATATTTTGGGGGTGTGACTGGATCCGGCATCACCATGGGTGGGAAGGTTCACCTTTTATCAGCTTAGCTTGATAAATCAGTTGAGGGTAACCATGTTGTCTAACCCCTTCATGGATCACTGCCATGTCAGGGCACAGGGGCTTGCGTGGCTCAATGAAGCTCTGAGCTGTGCTGTGCAGGGGCACCCAAGACGGACAGGTCATAGCAGAGAGCTTTGACAAAACGTGATCCACTGGAGAAGGAAATGGCAACCCACTCCAGGACCCTTGCAATGAAAACCCCATGGACAGTACCAAAAGGCAAAAAGATATGACGCCGGAAGATGAGCCCCTCAGGTTGGAAGGTGTCCAATATGCTACTGGGGAAGAGCAGAGGGCTAGTACTAGTAGCGCCGGAAAGAATGAAGCGACTGGGTCAAAGCCGAAAGGACACTCAGTTGCTGATGTATCTGGTCGTGAAAGGAGAGTCCGGTGCTGCACAGATCTATACTCCATAGGAACCTGGAATGTAAGATCCATGAATCAAGGCAAGCTGGACGTGGTCAAACGAGATGACAAGACTGAACATCAACATCTTCGGAATCAGTGAACTAAAATGGACAGGAATGGGTGAATTTAATTCAGATGACCATCAGGTATACTACTGCGGGCAAGAATCCCTCAGAAGAAATGGAGTAGCCTTCATAGTCAATAAAAGAGTAGGAAAAGCAGTACTGGGATACAATCTCCAAAATGACAGAATGATCTCAGTTCAAATCCAAGGCAAACCATTCAACAATAATAATTCAATAATAATAATAATAAAAAATAATAACATCACAGGAGTCCAAGTCTATGCCCCAACCACTGGTGCTGAAGAGGCTGAAGTTGACTGGTTCTATGAAGGCCTACAACACCTTCTAGAATTAACACCAAAAAATGATGTCCTTATCATCATGGAAGACTAGAATGCTAAAGTAGGAAGCCAAAAGATAACCGGAATAACAGGCAAGTTTGACCTTGGAGTACAAAATGAAGCAGGGCACAGGCTGGTAGAATTTTGTCAAGAGAATACGATGGTCACAGCAAACGGTCTTTTCCAACAACCCAAGAGACGACTCTACACATGGACATCACCAGACAGTAAACACAGAAATCAGATTGACTATATGTTCTGTGGAAAACTCAACAGTGGCCACAGGTTTGGAAAAGGTCAGTTGGGGTGGTCACTGACCATGAGCCAGACATCCTGGAATGTGAAGTCAGATGGGCCTTAGGAAGTCTGAGCAACAACAAAGCTAGCGGAGGCGACAGTATTCTAGCCGAGCTATTCAAAATCCTAAAAGACGATGTAGTAAAAGCGCTACACTCAATATGCCAGCAAATTTGGAAAATTCATCAGTGGCCACAGGATTGGAAAAGGTCAGTTTACATTCCCATCCCAAAGAAGGGCAATGCCAAAGAATGTTGTTGTTGTTGTTGTTGTTATTATTATAACATTTCTATGCCGCCCCTTGCCGAAACCTCGGGGCGGCTTACAACACGATAAAATACAATGAAATACAATAGCACATAATAAATTACCATTAAATACAAAATACAAAAAATACATTGGTTTACAAATATAAGATTAAAATTATCAGTATAACTTAAGTAAAT